TGGTGATAACGTGGATGACATAAAATGTAGACATTTGTGAACAACCTAAAGAAGTTTGCATACAGTGGAGCAGGGAACAAGTTATGCAATACGACTGGGCCCAAATACAGTTTACATCAGAAACATCCGGCATTCACTTGCCTTCCAAAATGAGGAAACTCCAAACTTCGACACTTCCTTTGGAATGTAGCTTTCTGAATCCTGCAGCCTTCGGTTAATGCAAGCAATTGTTTCATTACTTAAGCCCAATTGGCGTTGTTTTGCCAAACACAACCATATACCCAATTGGCATCTTACAACACCTAGGCAGACTAAGTGCATGTAATCCAGTGGGAAACTACTCACAATATCAATTGGCAGTCTCTCAAATATGGATGTGTTGGTCTACTGAAACATTTCGGGCAGAACACTTCGGGTGCATTGAAGAGAGTGAGAAAGTTGTTTGCACTGGACTCTACGTCTGTACCGAAGTGTGTCACAGAATTCTAAAGTTCCCGCAATGCGCCCAAACCCAGTCAGAGAATGCACCTGGGTAATGTGGTCAAAACTTGGGCTAAATGGGTAATTTTGACCGACCAAGACGTGGTCAAAAGGTGGTTAAAATGCTACATAATTAACCCACTTTACCCATATTGGCCACTATTTCCACATTTGCCCATGTCCCGAAAAATTTTATTGTCCCACTTTTTTAGTGAACACTTTATCCACTTTTCCGGCTTTAACCATGTCATTTTCCAAAATAGCAAAGTTGTTCCTACTTTACCCATGTTACAACCGAAAAAGGCCTACCTTTTCCCAAATTTGAACGGAAAACTGCTCACGTTTTTACCCACATATCCCAGGTCCCCAAAAAGATTCACCAACTAAGAAGTCAATGGTAGCTGGATACTTCAAGTACTCCACTTGTTTATAAACACTGGCATCTGTCAGACGAATCTCAGCAACTGACAATTAACTCAACATAGCAAAAACACAGCTAGGAAAATCTTTTCAAATACAACTTATAAATACCGATAGGAACGCCGGTATTTACTAAAGCATCGAATGTGATACGCACTATAAGCCGGACAGAAATCTATTTACAGCGAATTATCTACATAATGGCAACTACCTATTCAGATTTATTGGTTGAGGAGAGAAGAATTTGAGCCTATGCTAATCATTTTCTAGTAAATTTCTGTGCTTGTCCAAACCCTTCTGGAATCATTCAGTTGAGGTTGCAGACACCACTTCTTCTCGGAGTCGGTTCCAAGAGTTTATGACTCGGTGTGAAAAACGGTGCTCAACAGCAATATGATTTCTTTAATTTTGAACTCTCCTGCTATGTCCTCTAAGGTGTTCCGACCTGGTGGGGGGGGGAAAGAGAGAATAGTTCAGGTCTGTAGTCATTATTTAGAATTTTAAACATTGTGATTAAGTCTCATCTCTGCCCACGGTATGACGGGGAGAAGAGATGTAAACTGTCTAGTCTTTCCTCGTATGATAAGTTGGTCATGCCGAGAACCATACGTGTTGCCTTCCTTTGCAATCTTTCTAGAATATATTACTCCATTTTATGACAAGGACTGGCTGTCTGGATACAGTTTTCCAGTCTCGACCTCGCCAGGTATGCATATAAAGTGGTGGACATATCTCTGGTGATTCTAGTAGAGTCTGGGCGAACTGCCCATAAGGATCTGAAACTACGTGCAGCCACCGCGTGACAGTGTGCTGTAGTTTTTAAATCGTGACTTATTATGATACCTATGTCCAAATTAGTCTGAAGTGATGGGAGGGTTATTCCCTCTAGTTCGTAGGAGCTGATGCTTGCGTGTCCAATGCACATAATTGCACATTTCGCTACATTCTCTGGACCACTCTGACAATTTGTTGAAGTCCTCTTGCAGCGTAAGCATATCATTGTCACACTTCAGCTCTCTCCAGATTTTTAAGTCATCTGTGTATAGGGCCATAGGGGAATCGTTGAGCAGAGATAACTCATTGATATACAAAATAAATAGGAGAGGTCCGATTACCGTGCCTTGTGGCCGTCCACTACGCCCTGCTGTCCAGGAGGAGAGCCTGAAGTTGATCCTAACTCTTTGTCTCCCACCTACGAGGAGTTCCTTAATCCAATTTGTAACCTACCCTTGATACCAAGACTTTCCAGCTTCATGAGTAGTCTTTCTTGGAGAACTTTATCGAAGGCTTTATTGAAGTCTATGAAGACGACGTTAACGGGTCTTCTGTTGTCCTTTGACTTGACCCAGCTTTCTCTTGCTGTAGGAAGGTTTGACAAGCACGAGAGGTTTCCTCAGAAGCCATGCTGCACTCTGCACTACAAGCTGTTGTTTTCCAAATATGCCATGATAACTTTCCTGATGATCCTTTCCAGTATCTTGATTAAAGGTGCTGGTAAGACTAATAGGTCTGTAATTTGAAGGGCTTTGTCTTGATCCTCCTTTGTGGATGGGAGTTACTATGGCGCCTTTCCAGTCACGCGGTAACACTCCATTTAGGAGAGATAGCTTGAATATCGTGGTCAGTGAGCCGGCTATGTGAGCTGATAGTTCCTTGATGATGAAGCCTTGGATGAAGATTATCAGGACCCAATGATTTCCCTGCATCTAGTTTCATTAGGCAGTTGAGCACGATGTCTTGGTCAACATCAAAGGAATCTATCTCATGTTCCTCTGATGCAGCCAGAGCTGATCCTATGGAGACTGATTAGGAATGCACCAATTCGTGTATTAGGGGTCGAGCAGTTGATCCTTAGAGAATATTCTATTAAGGAGAACTCTCTTCTCTGACACTACTATGGTAAGGTCCTGTGGAACAACAACTAGTAATCCCTCCACCGAAAATATCCTGGAATAAATACCACGTTTAACTGTACAATATGCTGACATATTACCACTACCTTTGACAGAAAGACTAGGCGAAGGTACAGATCTGTTGAACTGGGACTGTTCAACAAGATCTAGGAGTATTTGAGAAACGATCAGTAGGTCCTTACAATTATGCCACAAAAACATCACAAGATTATACTAATTGAACAAGTGCCTTCAGTAGAATTTCAGATATGAATATATTTCCTCAACAGTTTTCAGAAAGGAAGTGAAACAGTTGTATTTCTCAAACTTGGTGTTGGTAACGACCAGAACATATGTAGAGTTTGAGCATTTTTTCAAGAGGATGTACTGTGAATTTGGAAAATATATAAAATATACGTTTTGAAAGGTGGCTAATAATAAATACACATTTTCCAAAATAGAGTAATTTTTATGTGGTAAGACGCAGTGATGCAGTATTGTTTACTAATGACTTTCGAACAGCCATACGATAGCTTGACTTGTATGACGGAATGATTAGATGAAAATTTTCAGCATGCCGAGGACATCAAATACCAGCACTTTTATTATTATTGACAATGAGCCATGGCTCCAAACATTACCTAAAAGAATTCGCAGGATCTCAGTGGGACAATTCATACCATTCTACATGGCTAAAACAAATGATTTATAAGACTTAATGAATATCTTTTATTATGGCTACCTGTACACCCGTTCTAAGGTAGCGGCATGACGTACGTATCAAATATCATAGCCATCTCAATCAACACAATTTCACAATGTCAACGATTCATTTCCCCTAATTACCTAACGCTCTCAGCCTAACATCACTACTACCAACCACGTTATATATTAGTTTAACATGAGAAAGTGAACTCAGACACATTTAGTCAAATATCATTAGCTTCCTCATATCTCCCACTTTCAGCTCACATGTCTAACAGCCGTGGAGACGGTGGGTGCGAACAGCTCCACAGTACAAATGTCCTTCGATGGATAGCTAGCTGGATATCACGCCTACATGAAGGGGGACACAAGTTATCACTATTATTAGCAAATGATAGACAAACCCTTTGTATTCATGCTAAGAGCTCGTCAGAAATCACTCTTTTATGACTGATGCGACCTCAAAATGAGTGAAGTGCTCAACACATATTCAACCATTTCACTACCTATACGCGAACTAGGAATCAGTGAAGACCAATCACGCTGTGTCATCTTACATTTGACTGGAGTGAATCGCATGTCAAACATACTAAGATTTCGGTGGAAGGTTCTCAGAAGATTCTGCATTTTGTCAGCGTATTCCTCTAGTAGGACTACACCATTCACATTCTCCAGATCAACAAAACATTTCTGTAGTAGCAAGTCGATCTATGGAACGTCGGAGTGTGTTGACGTGATCTCTGTTGGCACATATATGATGTGAAATTAAGAATGGTGACATTCGCCAGTGTCTACAAGCTCTTATGCGACTGCATTAATTCGTGTAGAGTGTCCTGATTAGTACAGTTTGCTTTCTTGGGTCTTGTTTCACTAGCCTTTGACACAATACCCTCGATCGATATAGTCATGAATACATGGTCAATGTATTCACTTAGTCTTCGCGGACTATCGGACCCTAAATATAGGACATTATTTCAGTCAGTCTGATTTTTCATAATTACCATAAGATGTTTATTTTCTTATAAACTGGATTGATAAGGCATATACACCCAATTGATAGGGCTATTTAAAGACTACGATGCGTTAGCTGATACATTAGTTATCCCAGTAGAAGTTGTTAGATAGCTTCAATCAAACTGTGACATAAACTTAAGAACCAAAAAGTGTGCAATCTAAAAACTACTGAAATTCTCTGTACTATTGTTATCACCGGTTAAGGTTTAAATTATAATCCAGATTGTAAGTCTTAAGTTTCGGATGAAAAATGTGTTTTATACTTATCTTTAGCATCATATGGCACTAAATAGCTCACAGATATGAATATTCTGAAATTGAAGCAAGTAACCATATAGACAAATGTATCTCAAGTAAACGGAGGGCGACACAGGGTGACATCCGCTTCGAGATGTGTGTTTGTGATCAGTATTAATAAGAAGTCACTGCATATGACAAATCCCAGATGTATACTGATGTGTTTCAATTTTTAGGTACTACTTAAATACAATGAGCTATAATGACCATACTCAAAGTCAACTAAGTTTGGTTAGTTTCACCTACTTACAACATTGATGATTTAAGCCAACATCAGGAAGATTTGATTGGATCGATGGTAAAAATGAACTGGTTTTCCAAAAATATGCTAATCAAAAACCACCAAAGGCCATTTATTCACGAAGGTAAATTATTTACTTGAAATTTCCACAGGAAAAATTTACAGAAATTTCCACAAGAACGTCCCAATAAAAAGTGAAAAAGAAGTTCGCATTATAACCATACAAGATATAAAATGTAAGTTCATTACTTTCTGCTTTGTAGAGAAATAGCTGTCGCTTTGGCTAGACTAAAATCTTCAGGGAAGCGTTTCCACTATTCACAACACTTTGTTCAAATGATCAGGTATATTTTGTATAGGCTATCCATCAAGTGGAGTCATTTACTAATTAGATCACCAGAATGTGACAGACTATTAGTACACTTAGCAAGATATCTAGATTGTTACTTCAACATACTGCAATCCAAAGAGAAGTTTGCCAGCGAGAAATTGTAAAATATGGCTTGGAATTCTCTAAGATGATGATATTTTAACTAAACTGTTATTTTTAGGCTACCAAATTTGAATCAGTTGAAAGAGCAAAAAGAACTTCATATTCGACTGGACACATTAAAATATAATTTCTCACTTTCCTATGCAAAGTTTTTACTGCATGAACGAATTCGAATTCACAGTACTAACCCAAGGCCAATAGATCCGGTAACGTATGCAAAGACCGACCAAGACTTATATGAAACATTTTTCTGGTTTTTTGTTTTCTGCATGTGGATCACATTTCAACGTGTAAGATTCCAGGAGATTTGCATTCAGATTGGTTGGTAAGTAATTTACCCAGCTGGAGATTATGCATGATGACTGAAAGTAAGTAATGGTTAAATTGGCAGCTAGGTCATGTAGCTCAACTGATAGAGTAAAGGGCTAGGAATCTGGAGACCATTATCCAGAATCCTGTCAAGATCCAGATTTTCATTTCATCTTCGATTGTCGTTCATAGTATACCAACTCTAGGTTACCATACATAGTCTTACTATCAATCCTTGAATTATTTGTGCGGTTGTTGTGATAACAGATCATGCAAACCATGACTGTATTCATTACATATTGAGCCACAACTTTCCTAAAGGAGAGAAATCAGCCGAAATATGATCACGTAGGTGCTCACTGACAGTTTTCCTGAGTTATGTAGGGAGGCCTTGGTTGAAATATTGAGAGTTTTAGCTTAGGATGAAGATAGAAATTTACGTCCTATGACACTTGATTGTGTAGGTTGTCCAGTCACATAATGTCGGTGGAATGTCTCAAAATCGTGCAACGGTACTGTCTTTGGAATTTTAAGCATTCTGTTATTCATGGAATTATGCAATATCTTATACACACATCCGTTTATTGTAGTACGACTCTATTTCTGCACACGTTTTTTATTCGTGCTTTTTTTTGAAGCGTGTAGAATCGAAAGACCAGACATTTGTGTTGAAATGAAGGCTGTAATGAAAATGATCCTACAGTATGTAGGTATTTCACAGACCACTTTTGTTTGTGTATTAAGATGATTTACACCCGTATTAAAGAAAATAGTATTCACCCAATAAAGTAAGAGTATTGACGTATAACCAAGTAGGAAGGAAGAAACGAACTTATGGAAGATATTAGAGATATGAAGTACTCATAGTTATTAATGGATGGCGTCCGAAGAATGAATGATATAAATACTATAAGTTGTTTGAAACTGCAAGACCACGTAAATCGATAGTACATGTATGTTTTGTCAGGTGTGGTATTGAGTTTTAGTTGTCATAGTTGCATACTTTACCTTTCAAGTTGAAATTGAATAATTCCACATTTCTTTAACAGGTTCACAAGATCAGAAATGTTTAACTCACTCGGACGACAAGGAGCCTCTTTTTTCGGACTTAAAGAAACTGATAGTAAAGGTACCAACAAAATTTATGAAACACATTTGCCTCGTGCATCAATGCTCAAGTATGACCAATAATCTTTTGTTTATAGAAAACTTTACTTTCGAAGCAAATGTTCACCTGCTTTGAGGCTTTTACTAGATGACACCTCTAAGATCCATTCAGATGAAACTGGCGAAAAACAAAGAAAGTAAACCAAATATTATAGTTTTCGGTAATCACTGATATCTTTTTTCTTGAAGAGCACAAGATTTAACTGAAATCCACTCAGGTGAAGGAATTGAGAGGTAAGAAATGAGCAAATCCATTGGTAGTTGATTAAAAGTAGAATAGGAATTTTAGGAGATTATCGACATTTATACGACGACCAACTTATATCCAATAAGCAAACTGATGAAAGTGACCCAGTACAGAACGAGGACCGCAATGAGTAAATATCATAATAATCATAATTATGAAAATTTTCCAAACAGAAACACTGAAGAAGTAGAACAAGAAGAAAATGACAAATAAGGTTGATAACCTAAAATATATACCGGGTAGAGTAAGTCAAACGATGATTTATTCATGTGCACCATAAAAAGCGCCTATGACTACCACCAACATGACAGCAACACTGACTAGTGCAAATGTTCCTGCAGGCAATCGGCAGGAAGTCTCCAACCATCTAATATCATCACAAACAATGTACACCATGATGACGAGCTACCTAGAATGGTGGCCACATTACAACCTGACTGATAGAATTCAGTCCGCACCAAAGAGAGGACTAGACGCATCACACTAGTTACTAGTGTCAAATCAAAGTAGTGATGTTAGCCTGAGAGTGTTAGGTAATTAGGGGAAATGAATCGTTGACATTGTGAAGTTGTGTTGAGTGAGATGGCTTTGACATGTGATACGCATGTGAAGTCACTGAGTTTCTTTCGTAACAGTAGTGGGTGGATTAGGTCAGGAAGGACTCAGAGGTGTCTACACAAGACCATCTTTGTAGTAGACAAAGTAGTAGACGTAAGTAAGGTGGATAATTTGATTTAAAATGAAACTGAACTTACATTCATTTGGCCATATACAAAGAATTTATAACCTTTTGTATTGCACACCTAGCTGAGAAATGCCTTACTCACCTGCATCATTGAGTAGGAAACAATGCATTACACCCGTTTTAGAATGTTAACTTTAAAGCGTAAGCGTGTTAAGTCTGTACAAAAATGCATTCCTACGTTGTTTCAATTGGATTTTAGGAGTTATTGTTTCAAGTTGGATAAAGATGAAGAAATTCACTGAGCACCACAACGAATACTTTATTTAGTGAAAAACATTATGGCTTTAATGTTTTGTTAAAACTCCGATGAAGTTGATAACAGAAAACGGCCTAAGCAAATACGTGTTTCAAGGAATTGGTTAACGCGCATTAAAACTAAATGTCTATGCTGAACAATTTTAACGCATAATTTTATAATCTGTGAGAAGTTACCGAAAGCACGTGTGCTTTAATCATAACAATAGGAATATTGAAATTTGTATTGCTTATGTTTAGGCACCTATGAAGATGTCATATTTTTGCTGTATTCACACATGGCGATACATCTTTTTTTGTTATTCCTTTACGTTCTCAGTGGAACATACGGCAGTAGTGGTGTTTATTTTTACGGGTTGACGTTGCTAGCCTCATGCCCAACCTTCCCTCTTTACCAGTCTTATTACTAGCTTAGCGGAGTAAAGGAGTGCGGGAACCGGACCCCGAACCAAATGAGTGGTCGACTAGCATTTTACCGCTGTGCTACCGACGCACATCACGGCGATATACCTGAGATACTTTAATTTAAAAGCTTTATTGATAAAAAAGTGAGAATTTACAGTTTCTGAGTATTGTAAAGTCAATTATTTTTAACTAATAACTGAGTTATTTTTGAATGTTTTTTTCTTCTCCAAAACAGGTAGTTTTGAGGAGTGGAAATATCTACTACTTTTATCAGCATATCTAATTCTTGCCTGCAAATCTAGAATTTATCTTTCAGAAATACCATGCACTGTTTTTCTTTTATTACTGTAGTGATATGACACATCCGTCTTAAAAATAATTTGCATCCTTTTTATCCTGGAAAAAAATAATGTGTTAACCAAGTTTTTATTTAAATTTTAATACATCCTAAAAAAGAAACAGAAAGCGTTTTAAACGCTACAATAACTATTAAGCCTGCATTTTATCCCTACTCAAATCACCTATTTTCATCTCATTGCAAGTCTGGTTGATGGGAGTATACACTTCCATTAACTGGAAGAATTGTAGCACGAAGGTGTGATACTAATCAAACTGCTTTTTAAACAGATAGAAATCAGGAAATGTTCTGTATGTCTGAAAAAAATCAAGATGTATGCCGAAACGTTAGCCTGCATTTGGGTGATGTGTATCCAAAGGAATTGTTTCATGTAAAGTGATTCTGACTGTCAGATGTGTTCATCCATCTAAATGAATAAAACCAGTATAAATAAGAAAGGATTTTACTATGCTTAAAAGTATTCATTTTTCACCAATTTAAAATGTATGCCAGTGGTCGTCTGTCTTGATGTGATTATGGGTTTAAAAAAAAACAATCGTGCTTGAAATGCAACTCAATAAGTAACATCGTATATAATTGAAAGAGTATCTCAAGAGAGGATAAATTCGATGCGTTAATAAAAAATATCAAACATATACTAGGAGAAGAAGTTTAGGAATAGTGTCGATCTTTCACGAATTCATTCCTTGAAGAGAAACGCCTAGTAATCATATTTCTTTTAAAATAATTGGGGAAGCCTGCAGTTGACAACAACAGTATTAACTTGTTTTAGTGATGGAAAAAGTGAAGAAATCCTTTCATCATATAATATGATCATATACAGTTGGAGGTACAAGAAAAAGTATAATTTAATATAAACGATATCTTAGTATTGTGAATCAATAAAAAAAACTTGAATTTATCATGTACAGGTTAATTACTCTATTGATAACAGTCACATGTTGAATATTTTCCTCTTCTTTCTAGTTAGAATTTCCTATTACATGCGCAGCTTTGGTAAGACGACTTGGACATGAACTGATAGCTGCACTTGATACATTTAACATTATAGTTCGACGGTCTACAACATGCGCTGTCTTAGACATACATCCATAAAGCGTATGTAGCCCTTGGGTTATGCTAGCGAGCAGTGCTGTTAGACAAACATCATTGGCTTGACGATATAAGTGATCATTTTGTTCAGTAGATGAAGTTGAACGCATAAGTGGGATTCGTTTGACTAAAGCATTAATTTCTCTCAGTCTCGCTCTATTCTGTGGTAATTCTCCTGCTGCTACAGCAGCCACATAGGCTCTAATTAGTTGCAAGCGACTGCTTAACATTTGAATAGCTTGATAGTTTCCTAGAAGATGTTCAGCGGTCTAAAATGAAAATATGTACGTCGATATATTTCACAACATAATGAAAACATTGGAGTTAAAATTAATAAGTTTAGACAAATACACAATCTCCTTGAAATTTTAAAGTTCCATGCTCTGAAAGTATATATTAATCACGACAAGTCTTATATATTATCCACTTAACTTCTTATATCGCAACGATTCAACATACAAAATATGGGGGAATATGCATACCTTACACCTCAGTAAGTCTACACAGAGTGAATAAGGTAACAATGTTAAACAGAGACTTGAAATCCGAAATAACGTCATCCATACATTATCCTTTCATATTGGACTATGTACTCGAATTTCGAACTCAACCCATTTCGGCTTCGACAGCCTGCTAGTATAACTTACCTTCACACAGTATATGTGATTCATCATCAAGCACATCAACTACATTATCACCAAGGAAAATGTCCACTTTACGAAGAAAGACTCTTGAGGTGAATGGCCAACTTTAATTCACTCTGAGAAAAATCAGATAAGCCTTAAGCTAAGTATCGTTCCTAATACATAGAATTCAACTTTTAATGTGAAGGTTAAAAGTAAATATTAGTTCCCCAAATACTAACTACATACGGAATTATGCATACTTACCATAGATGATGCTTGACCAGTGGATGACATTGAAATACGTGCAACATGGTCTACACCAATACGTTCTGCTTCATCAGTTGCCAAAGTATACAATACCTGAAATTATGAATACACGTCATTATAACCTGTCGTCAAGTTTATCATCAGTTTTTAAATAATTATTTCTAACAAATGCATAAGCGCATACATCAGCATGCATTAGACAATGAGCCACATGGAACTAATTGACTGCATTAATCTCGGCAGACGCGTAAGGGATCAAACTCGCTATCTGGTGCGATCAGTTAGATATGGGAAAATGCTGTTAAGGTAGACACAAACCTGAGCATCATATTTAAAATGGATTAGACACAACAAAACAAACTGTCATACGACGCTTGATCACACAGAACTATGCATATTGTTTCTAAGAGCTTCACAAATATTTCTTTTCAAGGAAGTATATAACACCAATCACTGATCATTATTTTGAATACTTTACATTTATCAACGCCTACTAAAATAAGTGGTAACAATGTAGTTTAAAAACTAAATGTGTCACTCATAAGGCTAACTATTCCACTCATGTGACAGTGTGAAATTTGACTACCCTTATGTCTCAACAAAGAGGCAGGATTTAAGCCTGCGGTTCCTAACACCACGCGTTGAGTGATCATAGTGGTTACCACAGTTCTACTACCCAACAAAGAAAAGATGACTGAATGCATTTCAGTGAATTAGATTTTAATATTCTCCCTTTCATCCAATAAGAAAATACAGAAAGTGATTCACATATGAATGAGCTATTTGGCTACACACAATGCAATATGAACGAGAATTGTCTCTTGAAGTAGTATAAGAACATTTACGCACTAATAAAGGGATAGAAAGTTACAGTGGCAAGAGAAAAAAGTGAGAAGAGGAGATCTCTTAGAAATATCAAACAATGCTCAAAGCCACATAACACGACAACGCTTTCATTTTGAGCCTACATTTACAAACGCCGTCACACACTCCTTAAACCACTGAAATCAGATCTCCACTAATACACAAAAGAATAAAATATGACCAAATAAATATTGCTTAACAGACAGAAGGAACAGAAATGCATTATTACAAGTTGTCACAATCTGCGGCAATACAAAATGAGGAAATGAACAGATTTAGGACGATATTGCATGTTGTATTTATGAGGATAAGACACACTGACTGACTGGAGCACTTTGAAGTCACTAAGGTTCGCGTAACAAAATAAGACTAATAAACTCGCATATCTCACTGAGTGTACTTTTTGGCATAGTGTGTAAAATCCTGCATTGAATAACGAGGTTGCACTACTGTCGTAGCAAAAAACAAGAAGATGTAAGGTAATTAACTATTAGTGAATAGCGCTAGGAATATTGAGATAGATAATAAGTGTTATTTAAATCTCTAAAATTTAGACGTTCCAATGCCTGACAGCAATACTACGGCGTCTACAGTCGGAACTTTTTTTCCCATGTTTATTTTCATTTGTCTTACATCTGTGGAGTAAAATATGGAATCTGCTGAAAATATTTTCTTTTGACAAGTAGTCTGAAATCTCTCTAGTGCCACAATTTAGACACTTTTGAACGAATGTATTATAAGAACATAGCTGAGAAGCAATAGTAAAAATGAACCCAACCAGTGCGACAATATAACACTAAATTATATATCAAGCTACATGTCATATCTACCGAGAACTGTACCACTCATATGACTAAAGTGCTGTACGAGCTTCAAGCTGGTGACCACTGTCTACGCCGTGTGTTGGTCATTAAGTCACGAGTATCTTAACTCAGCTTTGTACACAGTCAGGAGGATTTGCCAAGTACAACAAAGATTGAAAATTTGAGTGGAAACTTCTTGAGGTTACAGACATATGTTGAAATAAAAGTTCACATAATTTAAAAATGGCTCTAAAAGTACTTTCCATAAAAATTATCTATACCTGTCTAAAGTGAACTCTCCCATCATTGTCCACCACTGATTCATATACTCGGATAGGTAGATTCTCTCCACATGTTTGAAGGGGATCTAATTTTAATATGAGGAGTGACTCATTAAGTTCTTGCATCTAAAGAGAGACAATATTAAAATGCAGATGAAACATACTTGTCTGTTGAGCATTTCATCTTTTTCATCGATAGGTCCACCGGTAGTATACCATCCAACTATATCTAGGTCAGGATAAACTTGTTTACACTGGGATTCTCGAGTAGTATAAAATTCAGAGTTGACGGTTAGATGGGGCTCATCTAGTAGTAACTCAAATGAATTAGAAATCTGTAAGATAATAAATTCTTTTAGTTATAAAGGATTTCATACTTCAATATGGTGACTTTCTTGTTTACCAAGCAAAGCTCCATAGACTGTAACAGCAGTTGAATTTTCCTTCACTTTGTTACGCGTCCAATGCTCCGAAATATTTAGAATAACAAGTGGATGCAGAAGTACTGATACAGACCCTGGTCCGGAAGTTACATTATTTGCGTCAACGTTACTATCCACTTCCATTCCGTTTAACTACCTAAAAGCGTATTCAAAAATGACTTTCTGTTTTGTGGTGTTTAACAAAATTAAGCGGGGGGAATTTTTCAACACTACACTGCTCCTCAATTTCGGTTACATGTAGCGGCCAAACAGTTGCTCTACAAAACTTAGACGTCACGTTGACAAGTGAGTTCTAGCAGTATTAAATCCGTAAATACAAGTGACAAATAAACACAATGACACGATACTTAGTGAGCCCCGAGAGTAATGTTATCGACACACAAAATTATTAATTGTTATAAGACAGACATATTTCTATCAATCCAACGGCTATACATTCACAGTGTGAGGCGCCAATGTAATGTCAGGCTACTTCAGATCCAGTGGCTAAATGAGAAGCCGTAGTTCGCCGATTCAATAAGCCACAGTGTTTATCCCTTAAGAATGGTGACTAGATCAAGTTCTAGACAGAAAGAAACTTTGAAACCCATGTGCTTTTCCATAATAATTTGGTAATGGTTGCTAACAAAGCTCATTATCAAAGTTCTTCTAACAGTAAAGCCTTTGACTGAAATGACATTTTACTGTTTTATTACTTCAGCTAAATACTGCCAGACGTAATGAAGAGATTTGAAAAACTTTCTCCCTTCTTTGTCTTCCTGAATAACTGAATAGTAAGCTCAATTTATTTTGTTTTATGTTTTTGAAAGTCATTTGCAACCCTTCGTTCACCCGTTTCTTATCAATTGTTCTCAAACGATTGTTCATCAAATAAGTAATTAGTTGTCAACCCTCTTGATTGTGTAAGAGTATTATTAATTTTTAAAACATAGTTACTATTCATGCACTTTGATTTGCTTCGTTACTAATTATAGATAACCTTTGAACTCTGTTGTCAATCTACATTGTATATATCAACATACCCTAAATAACTGTACAACTTTGAAGTTACGAAAAGAGACCTCTTTGCTGACTCATGTGCTCTTTATTACATGAAATGAGAATTTTTCATACTTCAAAAACGAAGGCTCTGAAAATATATCGATTAGAGACATTACATATTTCAATCTTCAATACTGAAATCACTTAAGTGAACTATGAAAGTGAATGATACGATTTTCCCGTCTAGTTGTGAGAGAATATCTTTACCAAATGGACACTACTTAATATCCGAAATGAATTAGTCTTAAATAATTTCTCCCCTACGGCAGTTAATGACCAGTACCTGTACTAACCGAGTTCTCACACTCACCAACATATACTTGTTGAAAGAGGGGGTCTGGTCCTTGTGTAGTCCTCCGTACCTGCTTAAACATCGATTTAACTTAGCGAGTAACTGCACATACGTCAGAGTAACATATGTTTCGTAAAGGTAGAGAAGAATAATGCAGAGAAACTATAATAAATCATAGCGTATCAAATATCAAATGATTAGATGAAGAATAATAGGGGTTTAATGAAACTGGGATATCATAGAGAATGAATACATTTGCGCAATCAAGAACGATTTTAATAGCAAGATATTACATCTACGCCAAAGATGAAGTAAGTCCGCAAATATTTGGAGTTTTTTAAGGAAACCTGCGTAAACTTCAGGTATTTCCAAAGTTAAAAATGTCGCATTTCACCATTGCACTAACCCCCCCCCCCCAAAAATTTCTTATTTGGGCATGTGAAAAAGCAATTTGGACTACCGCTAAGAATCTCAGTGACGAACCAGGTGATACTATCAGTGCTTGCAAGTCATTGACATCTTGTATAATTATTTAGTATCAACTAATTAGAACTCTTTGGAGCTTTCTATAGAAAAGACTACTAGGCAGTTCAAAGTCACTTAGTCATAAAAAAGTAGTACCATGGTACTACCCATGCTTACGAAATTTCTAAACTTATTCTAACCTACTCTTCGATAATGCCTTTTTATGGTAAATGAAGATTTTACGTACCCTCTATGTTCTGAAATAACGCTGGTCGTGCTTAAAAAGAGAGCTGGGTGCTGATTTAAGTCTTTTCGTTCTGAAGTAACGCTAGTCCGCCCTTAATATGTCCTGTGAGGGCTGGGAAAATGCTATGAGCAAAGCCAGTAGGTTCTGATCTACTCCTGAAAATGCCTAGAAGAAGAACACGGTGCTGAATTAGTGTCAATCATGCTGAAAATCAGCACTGAGTTCTAGTCTGTGCCGCCAAAGAATCCATTTCAGAACAGATTCAGAATTTACTCACTATAGAATAACTTCAGAATTAATGAGATTTAATTCAGCACTATACTTAGCTTGGGCAACCAGACAAACGACTTTACTTAAGTCAGGCAGTATTATAATTTAGCCTTCCATGAACCGGATCTGAAAAAAACTTGTGATATTTTTCCTTCATCATTATATAGACTTCCTTTTTATAAGCTAAGTATTAATGCGACTACCTCCAGCTTACCTGGTTAGAACAAACTCGATTAGTAACGCAACAGAAATACTTAGCGCCTCATTTAGTACAATATCCAATATCGTTTTTGCGAGCTAGTATGAACCAATTTGGTTTCTTTGTGCCCGCCTCTTGATTGTGAAGTAAAGATTTATGATCTCCGGTAAACTTCTGCATAGTTCGTCTCGCCACTCGGCTGTCGTAGCTTTGTTTGACTCTGAAGGTGTAATGCTGGGATTAATTGTATGTTGTTTGTAGAATGAGGTGTGTTAAGACTGTTACTACTGTGAATGGAGTTGATCCTTCCACCAGTTATTCCTCCGGTGTCGTTGTCAAAAGAAAAGAGGTGATAGAAATAGATATAATAAGTGTAGGTTATTCAGACTAAAAGACAGAAAAAGAAATAAGGAAAACGTAGAAACAGACAGCTAACTAAATTTGAAGTTGATATATATATATATATATAATATCACCAGTAATAATAAGTGTAAGTGTAGTAGTTGGAGTTGTCAGGAGGGTAAGACGAGAGGGAATGTAAAGAAGTAAAACGACTAATTTAGTTGCCTACCCCTGAATGGTGTTTGGGATTTTAAGGGGATAGGCCATTTGGACGCAGTCCTTGTTTCTCTGCATGATTGTCCAGCCTTCGCTTGAAGGTGTCCACAGACGGTGCCATAGCTTTATCTGACGGTAAGGAGTTCCAGGGACGGCAAAACCACAGTGAAAAGAAGTGTGTGCGCACCCGGGTCCTTGCTCTCTGGTGAGCTATCTTTCTGGGATTTCCACGAGGAAGCCTATACCTAATCAAAGGTAGAACACCCTTGTTTGAGTGATTGTGGTCACTTGTTATCTTGTAGACAGTAATCGAATCCCCCCTAAGCTGACGGTAGCTAAGTGTGAATAGGCCTAATTTCTGTAGCCATTGATCATACGGTTTATTTCGGAGACCAGCCACTCCTTTTGTCGCCCGTCTTTGGACTCTTTCCAAGAGGTTGGTGTCTCTTGTAAGCAGTGGGGGTGGAATCATATTGTACACTTCAAGGTGTGGTCTGACGTATGCTTTGTACAACCTAAGAAAAACTCAGGAGTGAGTTCACCTAACTGTCTATGTATAAAGTGTGTGACCGCATATGCCCTGGCTACGTCCACAGTGTAATTTACGCTTGTGTCCATTTTTTTCCGTTTGAACTAGACCTAAGTTACTCTTTGACGTTATGCAGGACAAGCTTTCATTGCACAGGGTGTAACTTGCATTCTGCAGCCTACAGGTGCGTGTTTTCACTACTCTGCACTTTTTCAGGTTGAAAGTCATGCCACTGGCCACCGCTCAGTCTTCCAGAAGCTTTAGAACTGCCTGCAACCCATCTAAATCTTCCGAATACTTTATTGCCCTCCATATCTTCACGTCGTCAGCGTATAGAAGAGTTAGGCAGCTGAGACGGCATGGTAGGTCATTGATGAAAATCAGAAACATCAGTGGTCCCAGGGTAGAACCCTGCGACACTCCTGATGACGAGCCGTACCAAGATGATCGGACTCGATTGACCTTAGTGCAAAATTTCCTTTCAGCTAGGTAGTCCTTCAACCGTGACAGAAGTGGCTTACCTATACCTGCCTGACTTATTTTGTGTAGGAGAAGGTCATGGTGGACCGTGTCAGATGTCTTCTCAAAGGCTAGGAGGATCACATGGACTGGAACATTCATATCCCAGCATGATGTTCAATCGTCCCAAGCTGATAGTAGGTTTGTTGCACAGGATATATTTTTCCTGAAACCGTGTTAGGCTTCATGGAGTCTATTAGTCCTATCGAGGTGTTCCCTGATGTGATAATCAATAGTACCTGCCAGTACTCTTGATACCACTGTGAGTAGGACTACTTGTCTATAACTGGTGCCATTTTGCCTATCCAGACCCTTGAAGATCGGAGAGGAGATGGCTCTTTTCCACTCCCTTGGCAGTTTCCCCGAATCGATCGAGTGTTGGAACAAGTCGCATAAGGGCCTACAGAGAGCTTCGGTGCACTGTTTCAGAACAGATGGCCTGATGTCGTCACAACCTGGGGACTTTCCAGATGTGAGTCTCTGTAGCTTCCCTAGTACTATTGTCGGGTTTATTTGGAGAGTAGCCACTAGGTTTGCCTACGGTGGGATAGCAGTGCCACCATTTTAGTCTGTACCAGTAATAACCACATTGCTGTTTAACTGTTTGGCGAAGGCTGAACTGAATGTTTCAGTCGTCTCCAGACTAGTGAGGTATTGACCATTTGGACCTACTAAGGTGCATGCCCCCTGGTTGGTTGGTTTTCTTTCCGACATGAATCGATACAAGCTTTTGGGTTTCGCCAGGAGATTTTGGCAAGGTTAGCCTGAAATGACCTCTTGTCACTCCTGACTCTCACGTTGCATCGGTTCCTGAGTCCCAGGTATGCGTCGTGGTCAGTCTGACTCTTGGATACTCGCCACGTGAACCAAGCCTTCCGCTTTGCTTGCAGAATACGTTGCGTATCTCTCTTCAGCCATGATGACCTTTTTGGACTGTGTTGTGACTAAAGGGATGGTATCCGAGATTTCTATGTGAATAATCTCTTTTACCACTTCCCAGTGT